TTTGTTGTAACTTAATATTTTCAATTTATAGATTATTTTCTAATGGTAAGACTACTGATTTGAAATTATCTGATAAACAAAAACAATTATTAGGTTTAAATAACATCAATTCCAATAACAAAGAAAAGGGCACTCAATTTAAATTTGGGAATCAATCCATTAACGAAAATATGAATAAACCACATTTAATTCAAATGAATGGGCCTGGTCAATCATTACATAAAAAAAATAATTCAAATGTAGCTGTTGATGGCACTCCAAGCACTCCATTCTTATTCAAATCTTTGAAAACACCACAAAAATTAAGACAACAACAACAACTAGAAAATATGCATTTCCAACCAATAAACAATAGTATATATAGGACTAATGCATTTGGTGATTTACGGAAAACAGCTGCGACAAACAATTATTCAAACAATAATTTTAATAATAATAATAGTAGTAGTAGTAATCCATACATTACACCAGGTTACGATTTTAAGAATAATAACAAACATTCTCTATCTATGACTAATGAGGCATATGTTGCAAGTCCAAAATACTCATATTTAATGAATTCGCCAGGACCAAATCATTTATAAAATCATAAATAATATGAATAAATAAATATATATATATATATATATTTACGATTCACCAATATTCTGGAAATAAGAATCTAACATTTTGTAAAGTTTGTTCTGACATGACATCAGCTTTAGTAGCCACAGACATTTTAATAGAACCTTTTAAACCATCTCCATTAATCATAAATTCAGGTAAGTTTTTAGCCATTTCTTTAACTATTTTAGTAGCCAAAGCATTAGCATTTCTACCATTATTAGCCAAATGACCAAAAACAGCATCTACAGTGACTGAATCTTCATGATCTCTCCAAGCGTCATAATCTGTTGACATACATATCATTTGATAAGGTAATTCACATTCACGAGCTAGTTTAGCCTCTGGGATAACACTCATATTAATAATATCACCACCTAACATTTTATACATCTTTGATTCTGCACGAGTTGAAAATTGTGGGCCTTCCATACATATAACAGTAGTGTCTTGATCATAATGCATTAAACAAGGTTCATCAGAATCAGGGTTAGTTAAAATATCTTTAAATTGATATATAAAATCTGCAAATTTAGTTGAGAATGGATTACCAAATCCAACATGGCCTACTAAACCAATTTCATTAAAATATGATGAATTTCTAATACCTTTAGTACGATCGATTAATTGTTGTGGTAATACAAAATCTCTTGGTTTAATATGTTCTTGTAATGAACCAACAGCACTAAATGATAATACTGCTTTACATTGTAATTTCTTAATAGCAGCAATATTAGCTCTAAATGGTACATGAGTTGGTGGAAATTCATGATTAATACCATGTCTAGATATGAATGCAACAACAAATTTATTATTAGTAGTATTAGAATCACCAATAAATACAGCTATTGTAATGGGAGAGGATGTAGCACCCCATGGAGTTTGTATTGGTGGTAAGACAGCAACAGGTTTAAGACAATCTAATTGGTATAGACCTGTACCACCGATGATAGCAAGATCCACAGCTTCATCGAATGTAGTCGGTAAAGCAGAGATAGTCATTGAAAAAAATATGAGTATATGATTATATTTGTTATTAAGATATGGCCGTTATTTTCTCAACTTCTTAGAATGTCGGTAAAAAGATAACCTAGGGTATATTTATCTGTTTATAATTTAAAATATGTTATCAAGTTTCATCGAGCAAATCTTTTAGTGTCAACAATAAAATACTAGGGCATCGAATGATATCAAGTCAGAATATTAAAAAAAGAAAAAACGACAACGAAAAATGAAAATTTTTGATTTCTTTTCATTATTTTCACTTCATCTTCATCGCTCGCTTAGTTTTTCCGTTTTAGAGGAGAGAAAATTCTCTTTCTCACGTTACCGTCATTCGCTATCTTTTTCCTTTTTTATAGTATTTTTTTAAATTTCAGACAATAAGCGACGCACTATGATAACATACGAGCAGGAAGTATGTATCTATTCTAATTACAATTTACTAATTACCTCCATCTATCACTTTTGGTCTCTTTTACGTAGTAAATATTGTAATACATAGGTAGATAAGTTCGACTATAATTAATGTAAGCAATTTATAAAACGGGATATTATAGAAAAAAGGAAATCATAGTGAATGAACCAGATATTTCATATTAATCAATTGTATATTGGTAATAAATATAGTAATTATTTTATATAATTAATTCAATTTCAAATATCTACTCAATGTAATTTATTGAATAGTTGTTATTTAAATTTTGGTTCAATTATCTTCTTGTCACGCTTACAAAAATTCATAGTTTCTTGAAATTCTTTCAAGTCTTAAAGGCAGAAAAAATAAGAGATATAAAGCGCTATGCAAAAAGTGCCTAACTACTCATATTAGGGTTAATAATAATTATATATCTTTCACTACATATATAGATATACATCGTAGAACACAACGATCTAGTGCCAATCCCAAATAACTCCAAAGTCACTTATATATGTGATACTCCTCTTTGGCCTCCCTCAGCTCCGTGCCACGAGTTGAACATTCGCATTCATTATTCCTTTGCGTATAGCGCGGTGGTTCTGACGATGCATTATAAGTATAACAACTCACATAATGGTTAGTGCCAAGGCTACGAATACGGACATTGTGATTGTACGCTTCTGCACAGGCCCAAGAACATTCCTGTTCTGGTGGATTCTGAGGAAATGGCTCGATAAGCTCTACATTAGAACGGCATCGACAATCTGACACCATGTATCGGTTTCTTCTGCACAAATATTCATTTCTTCGGTGGACATATTCTTCTTCTGTCACGTCTATCCCGGGTAAACGTTGTCGGTGTAGGACTTGACTCCCAACTATTCTGAACACCAGAGGTCTCTGGATGGCGCTAAGAAAGGATGAGGGGTCATAAAACCGTGGATCCTTCTTAGCTAGTAGCAGACTAGTAATGTTTGCATAAATGTTTTTTATATTTTTCTGAGAACAATTGACAAATAGCATTGGGAAATATTCCAAAGGATTTGGAACGACATAGAACTTAGCCTTATTAAACGTACCTAAATTCACAGTTTTATGCCAACCCTTTTTTAAGTCCACCTCGGTTGTGTCATAATTTAATGGAGTGAACGGGGGACCTGTCTCTACAGACCGTAATATAGGCCTAAACCCCTCAGATTCCCCTGTGAACTCTGAGATGTCGCATAACCCCTTCGGCTTCCCTTTTATCGGGGAGCTGAGAACAATGGTACTGCTCCTATCACTTCCGATGATCAGTAACATACGATCAAAATAAGGCCTGTAGAAAGGTTGTAATGCGGTGTGTACTGGTTTTACGACAAGGCTACGCCCTGGTTGAGGCACTGGACGATAGTAGCCTTTCTCCATTATTGGCTGCCCCTTTGTTATGGAATGTCCATATTCCGCCATCAGATTGAACACCAGACTATTGAATTTCGGGTTAACATAGTGGCCAAATAACGGCTTGAATTTGAAATTAGTTCCTTTTAGAATGATACTGTCGTTTCTTTGAAACGCATCCATGTTTTTATAGTAATCGGATGAGGTAATGTCGTGTTGCACTGCAGCTTAGACCACTCTAATTAGTTAAATTAGAGCAGACTGGAAAAATGGCAAATTGACAGAAGATCTATGTGTGTGTGTATATATAGTCTTACAAGATAGCTCTTAACTTCAAAGAAGGTAAAATGCTTACAGAACACGATGGGTGCGCCCCTTATCAACTATTCTGTTCCTTCCCTACAAGACGGTGACTGCGTGTAAAAAACGTAACCAACGAACATCAGGTGATGGGGTTCTGATGCTATTAAAAACGTATGTATGCTGGATAGAATATATCTGTCAAATAATAACCTTTTCTTCCGTTTGATAAAATTGATGCAGATATTGACACATGTTGGTGCGGAATTCCAAGTGCGCGATGACGTAATTCCGCAAACCGCAGTGGCGACAGAACGACGGACCATAAAGTATATGTTTATTGAATTTACTATTAAATCTTATTGAGAAGATCTCTTTATTTAATACTGTAATCTACTTTCTGTAGCAAACAGAGATTAGAACTCTGTTTTCTCTATTTTTTGTTTGTCTATTATTAGGAAAGGAACTTTGTGTATTCGAACCAATGAGAATGAATGATGGATATCGAAGTCGTAGCACTCACCGTCATTTGTTTGTTATCAATAACGAAACTTCCCCAACTTTGAACCAATAAGATTGATTCTTCCTTATCGAAGTATCAGAGCTCACCCTCATTTATTCGTTTGTTATTGTTGTTATTACCAGTAACAATAAATGAATTGTGCAGAAAATAATATTTGGAGATATTGGTGGTGCAACGCCGTGCATGCAACAATGAAAAAAAATAGCCCCGCCTGTCACTGAGCGAGAGTGGGAGAGGGGGATTTAAAGGAACTTTGTGTTTTAAAGAGAAAAAAAAAGGTATAAAAAGGTACTAAAATCGTTGTCAATTTAAATCAATTTCCATTTCGTTTTTATTACTTTTTAAAGTTTTATTCTAAGTTTACTTTGAGTTGTTATATTTTTAAAAATGAATCAAGATTGATATTGCATAAATACACTAACCATATTAAAATTAATCACTTTCTAAATCAAGAGTTAAAATGCAAAAAAAAAAAATAATAATACTACAGAAAACAGGCAAGTAACACTACTACCCAAGGTCTATCCGAACAAAAAGATATTAACTGCTTCATAGAAGGGAGTTTGTTTAGTATTTCAGGAAATTTTCCTGATATAAAGATTAATTTGGTAGAACTATTTGGTAACACATTAGTTCAAGCCAATGAAAATAAAAATCTCGTTATGATAGGTGTGTGTTATTTTTTAATGCAAAAGATAGGTAGCCATATTCAGATGTTAAATAATCATCTTTTAAAAAAAGAGAAAAAAAATCAAAATGTCGCTTATATTGCTAACTCAAAGATGAATTCTTTCCCTTGAAACACCATTTCTGAGATATTATCAAACCTTTTTCTTACGTACATATCCATTTTTGACCCACGCAGATATGCGACGTTTCGATTTTGTTTGAATTTCTCCAAGATATCATTTTTTAGCATCTGAATATGGTTACCTATCTTTTGCATTAAAAACCAATACACACCTATCATCACTAGATTTTTATTTTCATTGGCTTGAACTAATGTGTTACCAAATAGTTCTACCAAATTAATCTTTATATCAGGAACATTTCCCGAAACACTAAATAAATTCCCTTCTATGGAGCAAGCAAAATATTTTTTACCCGATAAACCTTCCTTGATAGTATATTCTTCATGCCATGTCAAAGGTACAATCCTATATAGTGTATTACTTGATGTGTTGTGACACCATCTGGAGTGAGTGGTTATGGTGTTATTATAATATTCATGTTTTTGATATTTAACAAAGATAACAAGCGGACCATTATAAGCCTCTAGAATATTTTTGAAACCTGTCGTCCAGTTTGGTGGATTCAATTGGCAAAAAATGTTCCGTAACATTATAAAAAACTTTGAATGGAGTATTAACATCAAATTCAGAAAAGTTTTTAAATATACAAATTTCAAGCAAATTACTTCACCTATAGATGGCGAGTTAATACCAAGTTTATTTGCCTGGGAATGTTCCGGTGATTTTATTATACTATGCTTAGACATATTTTTATGTCTCGATGAAATGGTCGCTACGTACAGACATATTTTTATGTCTCGATGAAATGGTCGCTATGTACAGACATCATTGATTCAAAGCTAAGTCTCTAAAAGAACCTGTCGTACTATAAATGTTAGAAGTTGAGTATAAAAATACTTTATTATCACACTGAGCAGGACTCCTTAAAGTAAAATAATCCTGACGAAGATGTCAGATACAAGCATCAGTAAAAAGTAATAACCCAAAGGATACATGAGGGATTAAAATATATATAGTTATTATGTATTAGATACTTTATAGTTTATATGGTCTTAATATAAAAGACCAGTCAGGTTATATATTAAATAATACCCTTCTAAAAGTACTTTTTGTTATTTCTAAATTTCAATATGCTATTTAAATCAGAAGAGCTCAAGAAAAATCCTTAAAATTATAAGAAAATGCGAAACTGTTACCATAGCTGATATGGACTCCCTTTCTTGACCTCTTTTCATTCTCTGTTCCAGCAAAAGCATCCTTAATTACGGTTATATAATAGCTATATGTAGTCGTGCTATGGGACTTTAAGCCAGACTGTATAATACAATAAAACTTCAAGTCTAGTTCTATATAGCTGTTATAAGCAAATGAGATAGCTTTGTCGGGGTTCTAAAATGGGTAATATCAAAAAATGTGTTTCCCTGAACGAATGTATTCAATTCTTCGAAATACTGTAAAATACGAGATTAAGACTAGAAAGTATCACACAGTTCATTACCACCTTTCGGACAAAGTAACTTAGTAATGTCAAATTAATGTTTAAGTATGTACCGCGATAAATAATTATTGTCAATAATGATTGAAACAATGTCAGCCTGTGAAATAATAGATATACAGATATTCTGTTGTTGTTTATCTGTAAAGGAAGAATGGTAGTCAGAAAGTTCTAGACAAGGTCATAAAGTAAGTCTTTTTATTATCAAGAATTTTTAAGAATACCGTATATGGACCCTTCTAGCCAAACTTTCCCACATACACGTACTTAGAAGTAATTAGAATAAGATTTGAAGTGAATGAAGCCTCGACAATATAATTCTTTAACTATATGTCTCTAGCAGAGTTGTCAGTGTAACAAACAAACTTGTCTGGTGAACATGTTAAACATTTTTTATCAGTGTAGTGAGATGGATAACAAATAGTACCATAGCGGGAGAATTGAGACCAGCAAAGTACAACAATTTATAATGACCTGTAGAACTTCCCGAGAAACCAAAGATATTCAAAATAGCAGAGTAGTTGAATAACAACTCATTCCTAATGAAGGTAATATAAGCATTATCAGTAGATGACATCATAAGAGGCAGAATCATTCACGATCATGTCATAATAAGACCCTCTAACAGGGATTCCGGATGAAGTAACAGATATAGCTGACAAGATAAAACCACGTGAATTACCAGATATACTTGGAATGTAAATAGCAGAAGCACCTAAGATTCGAACGCCGTCCACATTTGCATTGCTGTTTTCATCCTCATCATCGAAGTCAATAGCTATTGGTTCGACGGTGGTGGCTGTAGTGACAATAGGAACGGCAGTAAATGATTGAACTAGACTAGAAAATATTTGGCATTTGATGGTCCTTTATTCAGAAAGCAGTGGGGTATTGGTTTCAACCAAGGTAGCAGCTGGTGAGGAAGTTTCAGGAGAGACACTTGCACTATTAGTAACATCTTCAGCGGCAGAAACAAGTATACGATAGAAATCAACAATTTGACAATCAATACCTTTGTCAGGGTTAATAGAAGTCAAATCGAATTCGGAGTCAAATCAAAGGGAACTGCAAAGGATGACATAACAACCTTGTACTAGATGAATGACTATTTGAATGTATTCGGATATATTAGAAAGAAATATAACATTTAAAACGATGTACAATTGTACTGGTGAGAGTTTTGATCAAGAAAAACCCATATTCGAAATGACCATTTTTACTATGATATCACACATTGCAATAAGGACATACCAGACTCACAATGTAACCTACTTCAGAACGTGGATCAATCAATCTAACTCATACTTACCCAGAATGCTAACTTTGAGAAATTGGGACAGAATATTGACTGATTTGTTTGGTGTTAATGGTCAATTGTTTGCACCATTCCAAAATACGTGACAATGGTACTTCGATCTGAGACTGGTCCCTCCACTCCACTCCACCCACATCAAAAATGAAATACCACAACGTTTCCAACCCCATTTGAAATTACGGTCCAGTCTCAAACGGAATATAAGATATCGTCGATTCATTGCCTGTAACTTTACTATGGGATATCATACGTGACAACCTATGCCAAATTTGTTTACAGACCTCAACCAAAGCGTTACTCTTACTAAACCAATTATTAATAATATTACTACACTTTGTTTGTTTACTGTAGTCAAAATATTGATTGCATAACATCTGATTTAAAACTGGTGAAATATCATACTGAAAATATCAAATGCCCTAAACAGAACTCAACATCTCACATCACATTTTTCAAAAATAAGAGCAACCCAACTGATACAAATACAACACCGAAACGACTGTGTCAGGATGTGGAATAATGACTGAAATATCTGGGCTAGTTGTTCTGCTGTTATGCTGTCTTTACTAAGCGTCACACTAATATATGATGTTCTGGAATACAGAACACACCTGTCTCAATTATGTTAAATTATTTACTCTGACATACTCTACTAGGTTAACAACAACATTCTATATATTTTATTATAAATAATTATATACCTAATATATGTTAATCCTGTGATTAATCCGTATTATTGTGCAACTTCATTGAGAAATCAGATATATCTCTATGCCTAAAATATTATCTTCGCACTTTATTGACTAATAATATACTACCATCTTTACTGTATTATATTTAACTTATCAACTGAAATACATCCACATATATTACCAAAATGTCTAACAAAACGCGTATTATTCTGTTATTATGCGACATTCTCAAGAATAACAACCCAACCATACTTCTATATTTACCTTTTATAATTCTATAATATTCACCACACCTTACTTTATTATCTTAATCTTTAAAACCTGAATATATCATGATATATCCATTTGCAATTCCTGGTTAACTTGTAGAGAATCTGAGATAGAGTGTTTGCCTTTATTAGTCTCTTCAAGCTTTACTTTATTTAATTCGGATATTTTTTAATACGATAATCGATCGGTCTCTCTATATTATATATAATTTATAGAACGAATAGAATCTAACTTCGAATGTAAGTTCAGAATTCTTTGTCTTTATATATCATTTATTTTATCGAAGTTTCGTTTCTTCTTGTTACCTAAACTATTGTTACCTAGACGATTGTTGGTTAAACGATTGATAAGTAGTGAACTTATTTTCTAAACGATTATGGCCTAAACGACTATTACCTAATAAAATATTTATTTCTTATTAGGACATTTTAGATATCTTGATAGTATTCTTACTAAACATAAAATTGTAATAACTAAGTATTGCTACTTTCTACATTATAATAGTTTCAGATACAACATTATCCTGTTGTATTGGTAATCTCGGATGGTTGAAGATAAAAATATAACAGACGGTTATAATCAATTACTATTACTATGTTGTTAACTAATTAGAACTTGTTTCCAATCCTCCTCTTTTCTTATATATGAATTATAAAAGAAGTAGACGAAACATTATTTTCATAACTGGAATAATGTTCCCTTTATATACGTTGGTTTAATTACTATGGTTAAGCTGTTGAGGGGTTCGTCTATTGTTAGTTCACTGAGGGGTTTGTTGTGGGAATATTAAATAGCGATACTTATTATGGTAACAATTCATGAACAGATAGAACATACAAGTATGTTCTAGAGCAACTGTTCTAAAAGGATCATGTGGTCACTAATTATCACGTGACATGTATATTATAATATCGGAAAAACTATTAGAAGATATTTTTTCGATAACGCCGATGAGCTTCAAGAAAACTTTTCAGCGATGAGATGCCCATTGTACATTACTTCATTTATTAAAGAGATACTAGCTCCTCGAGATATGTCTGGGTATCTGTCTATATATTTATCTGACTAGCTTGTATACTATTTTACATAATAGGGACACGAATGATATTTAGATGAGTGTACTTTATAAATGTCAGCCGTTCGTAATCCAGACTAAGGGCCAATGTTATTTATACAAGTGTTCTTTATAAATGACAGAGGTACACAAAACTAATTCAATACGCGTCTACTCTCTTACCAAATCAGTTTAAACACAATATCTCCAAATATTATTTATTATTACTGTTAATAACAACAATAATAAACAAACAAATGAAAGTGAGTTCTGATACTTCGATAAGCAAGATTCAATCGTATTGGCTCAAGTTTGGGAAGTTTCGTTATTGATAACAAAAAAACAAAGAATAAAAAGTGGGAGTTTTGATCTGTGCCTGTTATATAAAGCAGCTCATAATATTAAATAAAGAGATATTCTCAATAAGATTTAATAGTAAATTCAATAAATATATATTTTGGAAAATATTGTTTCCTTATACATAATAATAATATTAATGAGAAAGTCACTATAAAAATACAAGCAATGTTGGCTCAAAGATTGCACGTATTCTCTTCTAAACTCAGTTATAGATCATCGTACTGATCAATGCACTCTTTTATTTGTTTTACTTTAAATTTTGCTTGATATTTCTGATTCATGAATTTAAAATAGATTTAGGATGACTTGGAGAAGTCTTCTTATACCCTTTGTATAATAATGTATCGGTTTAATGTATATGAGGAGTTCTCCTAACTACGTGTAAAACGACTATTCAATGTCATACAGTACGACCCGCCATTAAACGTATTTGAAAATATATTTGTATGTGTATATATTTAACCCTAATTCGATTAATTAGGTATTCTTTCCACAGCGCTTTATAGCTGTTATTTTTTTCTGCCTTTAGGCTTGTAAGAATCTCAAGAAAGTCACTATTTTGAAAAATTTAATTGAATAATAAGGATACTTTAACCCCTGATACAACAACAATATGTTATATTAAGCTAGAAAAATAAACAAAGATAGATATAAGAATAAACATTGATTGGGTTATAGAAACCATTTTTTTATTTTCAATTTGGTTATCATCATTTCAAAATATTCCTGGGTATATCACAATTTCAACACTCACACACACACATACACACACATATACATATATGAGTATATATATATCCCAAAAATAAGAATACTAATAATAATATATACAAAATAAAATATTACTTTTCACAATGTCACCTAGTTTTCATAGTAATTCATCTAGTTTGAAAAATGACCATAATCATTCAAAGCATGTGTATTTTAAGGAGTCTACTAGTGAAACTTTGAGTAATTCAAATATTACTCCCAGATTTGATAAAGCAATACATGATGAACCACCTCATTTTAAACAACAATATGAAGAGAGACCTGGAATGTACTCTACCTCACCATTAACAACAACAACGTCTGGGGTATCCAATTCAAAGATGAAAAAATCACAGAGAGGGAATATTACAACAAGCACGAATTTTCTGAAAAAGACAAAAAGTAAAGACTCTTTAAGAAGTGCTAATGATGATGTAACATCTATTGAAAGCTCTTCAAAACCACAAAGAAAAGCTCAAACACTATTAAAGAGAACAATAAGTTCTATTTCAACAAATACTTTGAATTTTGATAATGGATCAAAAGAAAATTTGATTAAATTGCATAATGATTCAGATTCAAAAAATAAAGAAAATAATACAAAAAATGACAACAGTTCTACTTCCACTGGGAAATCTTTATTTCATTCACCGAGAGGACCACTTCATAACCATCATCATCATCATCATTTGCATTCATCCAGTAATAGTGGTAGTACAGAAATTGTACCACCAAGAAAGACTTCTTTTGCTGGAGCACTATTCAAAAGATTCTCTAGTGCTGGTTCACATAATAATAACAATAACAATAGTAATAAAAACTCAACTTCTTCTACTACATCAAAATATTTAAAGACAACAACACCATCTACAACAGAAATTCCAGATGTTAATAGTCCCATGCCCTCCATTGTATCGTCAATACCATCCACTGCTATGTCATCCATACGATCACAGAGACGAGATTCCCGTAATTCAATCAATTTAGGACCGTTGACTCACCCAATTGAAAAAGTTCCAAATGCAATAAGGAATAAAGTAGCTGATGTTGTTTCTAGTATAGCTCATGAACCTGAGACTATGAAACAGGAAATATCGCATAGTACGCTATTTAATGCTGAGCAGGGGAAAGAACCAACATCAAAACAACACAGTACAAACTCGCAGTTTGCTACTACACAATATTCGGGATCGGAAGTCCAGTTATCAACGAACGTTTCAAAACATAAACCATCATCTGTTAATACACAAGCTTCTTCTTTGTCGTCTCAAAGAAGATCATCTGTCATGAGTGGTATCTCCCCTTCAACAACAAATATTAAATCATGGGCATCACAAAAGGAGTGTGCAACTCCAAGGGATATTTTTATACCGAAGGAATTAAGAATGTCAAAATTAGCCACAACAAAGAAAGAAGAACCAATACAAAACATACCAAAAGAATATATTCATAATGACAGTAGTTCTAGCGATAGTAGTTCTAATAAAGCAGCATTATTCCCCTTGGATACAAATTTAGCAGATTTAACGGACATTACAAAGACTGTACAACCAAACCAAGGAGATCATACCTTCAATGGGCATGATATTAACGATTATATTCCTAAAGAACCAGAATTATCTGCATATAGTAGTGATAACATTAAGGAATTAAAAAAATCTGCAAGTGGGACAAGTACAGATATTTCAGATACAAATTTTAGACCTTTTGGTAAAAAATCACATTCGTTAGCTGATATTCAACGTTGGGCAACAAATTCGTCTGCAAGTTTATCTCCATTTGCCTCGCATAAAAATACGAATGAATGGGTAGCTCCAGAAAGTTGGGATGTCGAATCTGATTTGGAGAAGGCAAGAGCTAAGAAGAAGGCCAAAGCTAGAGCTAGAAGAAGAAAATTGAAAGAAAAGAAGAAACAAATGGCAGATGATTTATTGACTTTCAAAGTAAATAGTAATAGACGTAACGAAAAACAGAGTAGTCAGATAGATTCTGCACTAGAGGAGTCAGTAGCAGAAACAACGAATGAATCATCTAACGCATTAGAAAGAACCAAATATATGCAAAATGAATATGAATTTTCCGAAACGTCATCTTCAAACGATTCCATTACCGATATAAGTGCGGATACTCATTCGTATACAAGTTCTTCTGAAGAAGATGAGGATTTTTACGATATCCAAACTGATCGACGTCATCGTTATCAAACCCCTCAGAAAACCAATACAGATTTAAATGGAAGGGCTTTTTCCTCTATTAATTTGTTATCATTAAACAAACAGGATTTTCCAACTACCACGAAAAATGTCGATGATGAAAAATCCGATAAGGTTGAATATGAATTGGAACGTTATTATAAAGATTTCAGTGATTTAGATCCAAAAAGACATTATGCGATCCGTGTCTTTAATACTGATGATACATTCACAACTTTATCATGTACCCCAAGTACTACCGTAGAAGAAATGATCCCAACCTTAAAGAAGAAGTTTAATATATCTGTTCCAACAAATTATCAAATATCTTTGAAGGTTGGTAAATTGTCTAAGATTTTAAGGCCATTATCAAAACCGATTTTAGTAGAGAGAAAATTGTTATTGTTAAATGGTTACAGGAAGTCAGATCCGTTGCATATTATCGGTGTCGAGGATTTAAGTTTCGTGTTTAAATTCTTGTTCCATCCTGTCACAGCATCACACTTTACTCCAGAACAAGAAAAGAGACTATTAAGAAGTGATTTTGTCCATGTGGATTTAAGAAATATGAATTTAACTACTCCTCCTATTATATTTTATCAACATACTTCTGAGATCGAGAGTTTAGATGTATCTAATAATGCCAACATATTTCTGCCCTTAGAGTTTATTGAGAGTGCCATTAAATTATTAAGTTTAAGGATAGTCAATGTACGTGCTTCAAAGTTCCCTACAAATATTACTGAAGCTTATAAATTAGTGTCTTTGGAGCTGCAAAGAAATTTTATTAAGAAGGTACCGAACTCTATATCGAGACTAGGCAACTTGACAATTTTAAATCTTCAGTGTAATGAATTAGATAAATTACCGCAAGGTTTTTCCCAATTAAAAAACCTGCAACTATTAGATCTTTCTTCCAATAGATTCAGTAGATATCCATCGGTAATTAATAACTGTACTAATCTGTTACAAATTGACTTGTCTTACAACAAAATTCAAGTATTGCCTGAAAGCATTAATCAATTAGTCAAAGTAGCCAAAATAAATATTTCCCATAATAAACTAAACAGAATAGGTGATATATCTGGTATGAAAAACTTAAGAACATTGAATCTAAGATTTAATAGAATTACTTCAATAAATACGAATGCTGCCAACTTGCAAAACTTGTATATAACCAATAATAGAATTTCAAAATTTGAAGATGTCGTACCAAAATTGAGAGCTTTGGAAATCCAAGAGAATCCAATTACAATTATAGCGTTCAAAAAATTTTACCCTGTTAATATGACATCTTTGTCCTTGAATAATGCTCAATTAGCTAGTTTACCAGGTAAACTATTTACAAGTTTATCAAGATTAGAAAAGTTAGAATTGAACGAAAATAACTTAACGAGGCTACCATCGGAAATCGGAATGTTAGAGAAATTGGTTTACTTATCTGTATCACGAAATAAACTTGAAAGTTTACCACCTGAATTTTGCAACTTAAGGAACTTAAGATCACTTGACTTACATTCTAATAATATTAGAGATGTTTTTTCCTGTATGGAAAATATTGAATTAACTACTTTAAATATATCTTCAAATATGTTTGGTGCTGGAGACATTAATCCTGATTTTTCGCACGCTATGTTGAGTAGTTCGAAATTAACAAAAAGCTTGATGTTTTTCATTGCTGCTGATAATCAATTTAATGATGACATGTGGTCTTTATTCAATTGTTTTGTTAATCTGAAACTTCTAAATTTATCTTATAATAATTTATCAGACGTTTCTAATTTAAAGCTGGAAAATCTAACCGAATTATACTTATCAGGTAACGGTTTACGTACTTTACCTAGTGACACTGTTATGAAATGGAAACAATTAAAGACTTTGATGTTAAATGGTAATCAATTATTATCTCTTCCTTCCGAATTATCGCTCTTAAAGCATTTAAACACACTTGATGTTGGTTCTAATCAACTTAAGTATAACATCTCTAATTTCCATTACGATTGGAATTGGAGAGACAACAAGGAATTAAAGTACCTAAACTTTTCTGGTAATAAGAGATTCGAGATTAGATCCTTCTACAACTCTGAATTGAGTGTCGATATGTCAGATTTGACTATATTGCCCCAGTTGAAAGAGTTGGGGTTGATGGACGTAACTATCAATACGAGTAGAGTTCCAGATGAAACAAGTAACTTCCGTTTAAGAACTACTGCATCTACCATTAACGGTATGAAATATGGTGTGGCAGATACATTAGGTCAACGGGATTATGTTTCCTCTAAGGATGTAACTTTTGAAAGATTTAGAGGTAATGACGACGAATGTCTATTGTGTTTACATGATATTAAAAACCAAAATGCAGATTACGGACACAATATTTCCAGAATCGTGAGAGATATTTATGATAAAATCTTAATCCGCCAACTTGAAAAATATGGTGATAAAGAAGATAATGATATCAGGAAAGCACTTCGTTTTAGTTTCTTGCAACTGAATAAAGAGATTAATGGTATGTTATCTTCTGTTGATAGTGGTACTAATGTTGAGAATTTAACTTCAGCAGATCTTCTAAGTGGGGCATGTTGTACGGTTATATACATTAAAGGAACGAGATTGTTTTCAGCCAACATAGGTGATTGTATGGCAGTGCTCTCTAAGAACAATGGTGATTTCCAGCAATTGACTAAGTTACATATCCCTTCAAAAAGAGAAGAATACGAAAGGATTAGAATATCAGGAGGATACGTCAACAATGGAAAATTGGATGGTGTTGTAGATGTGTCTAGGGCAGTCGGTTTCTTCGATTTGTTACCCCACATACATGCTTCTCCAGATATTTCCGTTGTTAGCTTAACTAAAGCAGATGAAATGTTGATTGTTGCTACACATAACTTGTGGGATTTTATGAGTTATGAGGTTGCATGTGATATTGCAAGAGAAAATATTCCTAATCCAATGTTGGCTGCGGAAGAAATGAAGGATCATGCAATTGCTTATGGTTGTTCAGAAAATATCACTATTTTATGTCTGGCGCTGTCAGACAGCACTGAACAGCAAAATCAATTCACACTTAATAAAAATTCTTTGATGACGAGAAGAACTACATTGGAAGATACTACTTTGAGAAGATTGCAACCTGAGATTGCCCCACCTACTGGTAATCTCGCCGTAGTTTTCACTGATATTAAAAGTTCTACCTTTTTGTGGGAAATGTTCCCTGATGCTATGAGAACTGCCATCAAAACACACAACGATGTTATGCGTAGACAGTTACGAATATTTGGTGGTTATGAAGTGAAGACAGAAGGTGATGCGTTCATGGTTACATTCCCAACTCCAACAAGCGCATTGGTATGGTGTTTAAGTGTTCAATTAAAATTATTAGATGCTCAATGGCCTGAAGAAATTACTTCTATACAAGAGGGTGGTTTGTTAAAAGATGAAAATGGTGTTAAAATATACCAGGGTCTTTCTGTCCGTATGGGTATCCATTGGGGTGCGCCAGTATTGGAACTAGACTTGGTTACCCAAAGAATGGATTATTTAGGTCCGGTAGTTAACAAAGCTTCGAGAGTCTCTGGTATTGCTGATGGTGGTCAGATTACTTTAAGTAGTGACTTTGTTTCAGAATTTAACAAGATTATGAAATATCATGAAAATGTGAAATCTGGTAAGAAATCGTTAGTTAGTGCCTATGGTGAAGAAATTATCGGTGAAGTCTTGGAGAAAGAAATCACAATTTTGGAAAACATCGGTTGGGAATTCTTTGATCTTGGAGAGAAGAAATTAAAGGGTTTAGAAGCTAAAGAATTCATCACTATTGTTTATCCGAAGATTTTAGCTTCGAGACATGAATTTGTAACTGAGGATGATGAATTTAAAACTATAGATCAAGATTTGTTGTTTAGGTTAAGAGCCGCATCGAATAAATTAGAAAGTATTTTATCGGTGGTAAGTGGTGGTCATTCTGAAAATGATAGTAAACAACACCAAAATTCTAATTTTATAATGTTAGATCACAAATCTCAAGATTCTATTATGAGTACCATAAATGAAAAAGATATTGCATCATTTTTTGATCATTTAATAACAAGAATTGAAGCCGTCGTTGCAGTTTTACAGTTGCGTCAAAAAGTATCGAATGGATTGACTATACATGGTAGTAATGAAAGAAACTCTCCATCTATGAGTGTATTTGAACTTGTTGATAAATTATTAGCCGCTCACGATGCTATGGTGAATTCAAGATCTGGAAATAAATAGAGATGCATACGTATATATATATAATGTACACCTTTGATAATGGAAATTATTTATTAATGTTTTTATTTACTTATTTCTGTTTCCAACGTTAAGTATATAGAATTATTCAGATTAATTAAAATCACAGTCATATATTTAAGTGTGAATATTCTTTTTTCTATTGTTGCGCCTCTATATCTCTCATCTCTATTGGTTTATTATTATTCACATTTTCAGAACTATTACTGTGGTTGTTATTATTGGTGTGTGCTCTATCGATGTCGTCAGTTGTTAAAGTATCAACCATACCTTCAAAAAATGTATCTCTTAATTCTCTCCATCTAGTGGTATATGTACCTAAGAATATTAATATTAAGGATGAAAAAATTTGTAATATAAACCATGGTAAAGAAGGAAAATGACCAGAATATATCCAAACTACTATTAAATTTATAGCATGTATAGTAATTGCGAAATCCCATGCTAATTTACTTCTCCCCACAATTACTGTTAAGAATATAACACATATCAGAGAATCTAATAACCATAATAAACAAAGCGTTAAACCGTATCCATTTGTGAATTCGATATATTTTGAAGTAAATAACCAATTCTTCATCTCTATATGTTGACCTGATAATTTTGCCCAACAAAAGAACAATACTGATGCAGTTGTATAATAAAATAGTTGTAATAATACAATTTGTAAAGTAATCTTACTAGGGGAAAATGAATCCTGCTTGAAGATCACAGAAGGTTTCAATTCATTGGGAATTCTCATATATCTCCTAAACGAAACCATTTCTGAATTGATCTTTATGTAATAATCTGGTACGTTTTTAAAGTATTAATATCTTTTTTAAAAGAGAGCTCACAATTACTCAATGCAAAACTTCAAAACACACCAAACAAACTTGTAAATGGTTAACTTCAATTGCAACTTGGTTCTTTCAATCTCGATTATTTTTATCGTCTACGAGATATTATTTGAGAGAAACGAGTTCTACTAATTGCTTTTACAGAGGTCGAGATGGTTGGTTTAACTAACGTTAGCAGAATATTTCTTTAAGAATCACAAGAACAGCCGAAGAAGGACATCGCGTTCCACGGCACACGGTCTAAGAGTATTGGCCTCGGTTTATTTCGTCAATGAAATTTACGGAGTAATAAAGTAACTAATTCCACTTTAGCTTAATTAAGGATGGTAATGATATTGCTAGAACACCTGATTTAAAGGGTATCTCTAATTAATACAGTAGGTTAGTTGACATTTGTAGTTATATTTATTTGGATAAACAACAAAATATTCTAGAATTATGTCGTTCGGAGCCAAGAAGTTTAGATCGAGGAGACAACAGTTGGCTTATGAAGCCTCATTTGCTGGGAAATACCAGAAACGCCTGAAGAAGAATCCGTTTCTCTATTTTGGATTGCCTTTCTGTGGGATGATAGTATTAGGTTCATATTGGTTAGCAGGTTTCACACAGGTAAAAATTGATCGTGATGATAGAAGAGTACAAGAGATGAACGAAACTGATATTATTAATGTCAAGAAGAATCAAAGAAAATTCGATATAAAGGACGAGTATTATAAATTGCAGGGTTTGTCAGAAGAGGAATGGGAACCTGTTAGGGTGAAGAGATTAAAGGATGAATCTGAGAATGTTTGGTAATTTCCCATTGACAATCATAAACAAACAAAATACGTGCATATATGGCATGTACAGTACAAGTGGAACCAAGGTTTTTGAAATCTGCTCAGTATCAAAGTAATAAAAAATGGGGGGCATTACTATGACTACTCTTGTCTGAGAGAGTCTAGTTAATATTACTTCAAATAGATAGCCTCTCCCCACGGTTGTTGTTTTTATATTGGGAAAAAAGCATGAATTACTTTATTTTAAGTGGCAACAATTATACAGATGATTAGATGTATCAATAAAGACTACACATGTGTAGATCTTGTTGAAATCATGTTTCCTTGTTTGTCTTCATAATTTATCTCTTCTCCCAATAGCCTTGTACATATAAGTAACGAAATTAAGCCATTTGTATAGAAAATATTAGAAATGCATTCATCACATTTAGCTTAAGTATATACAATTAATAATGACGAGAAATACAAAAGTCAATCAGTAACTATCAGGGTTTCCAAAAACATCCCTTAATGGAAGTCATATACCTATACTATTTCAGCTAGTCAGTCATTAATAAAATTTAAAGGTTGATTGATGGTGAAAACGAATAACGAACGATGAGGCGACAGTCAAACACGCGAAATACGTTGTACGAACATAATCCAGAGGTAAAATAAATCATTCATTTTGAACCCTTTAAAACATCTCTTCGTATAACGATTACTATTTTAAGTACTCAGTTTTATTTATTTTCTCAGTAGTCAAAAGTTTGGTTTCGATTGAATAATATAGATACTGCCCACAAGGAAACAGGAACAAAAAAAATAAAGATATCTATATATACATATACATATTACCATGGTAAAAAGTCTGTCTAGTCAGAGGTTGCTACTCCCATTGGCAGTCTTCTTTTATACACTATTTCTAGTGGTTCTACCATTCCAAAATGGCTCTAGATCATCTCATGTTCTAGCTAGAAGTGACGATGCTGAAAACTACGGTACTGTCATCGGTATCGATTTAGGTACTACTTACTCCTGTGTTGCCGTTATGAAGAACGGTAAGACTGAAATTTTGGCTAATGAACAAGGTAACAGAACACTCCATCCTACGTAGCATTTACTGATGATGAAAGATTGATTGGTGATGCTGCTAAGAACCAAGTTGCTGCTAACCCTGAAAACACTATCTTCGACATCAAGAGATTGATCGGCCTAAAATTCAATGACAGATCTGTTCAAAAGGACATCAAGCACTTGCCATTTGATGTTGTTAACAAAAGTGGTAAGCCAGTTGTTCAAGTGACCGTTAAAGGTGAAGAGAAACAATTTAGCCCAGAAGAAATCTCTGGTATGATTCTAGGTAAGATGAAGCAAATTGCTGAAGATTACTTAGGTACTAAAGTCACTCACGCTGTTGTTACAGTTCCAGCTTATTTCAATGATGCCCAAAGACAAGCCACGAAGGATGCCGGTACTATTGCTGGTTTAAACGTTCTAAGAATCGTTAATGAACCAACTGCTGCTGCCATTGCTTACGGTCTAGATAAATCTGAGAAGGAACACCAAATCATCGTTTACGATTTAGGTGGTGGTACTTTCGATGTCTCTTTACTATCTATTGAAAACGGTGTCTTTGAAGTTCAAGCCACATCTGGTGATACTCATTTGGGTGGTGAAGATTTCGATTACAAAATTGTTCGTCAATTGATTAAAACTTTCTAGAAGAAGCATGGTATCGATGTCTCTGACAATAAGAAGGCTCTAGCTAAGTTAAAGAGAGAAGCTGAAAAGGCTAAGCGTGCTTTGTCCAGTCAAATGTCTACCCGTATTGAAATCGATTCTTTCGTCGATGGTATTGATCTTAGTGAAACCCTAACCAGAGCCAAGTTCGAAGAATTAAACTTGGACTTATTCAAGAAGACTTTGAAGCCCGTCGAAAAGGTCCTTGCCGATTCTGGTCTAGAAAAGAAGGATATCGACGATATTGTCCTTGTCGGTGGTTCTACTAGAATTCCAAAGGTTCAACAATTACTAGAATCATACTTCAATGGTAAGAAGGCCTCCAAGGGTATTAACCCAGATGAAGCTGTTGCTTACGGTGCTGCTGTCCAAGCCGGTGTTCTATCCGGTGAAGAAGGTGTCGAAGACATTGTTTTGTTGGATGTTAACGCTTTAACTCTTGGTATTGAAACTTCTGGTGGTGTCATGACTTCTTTGATTAAGAGAAACACTGCTATTCCAACTAAGAAGTCTCAAATCTTCTCCACTGCCGTTGACAACCAACCAACTGTCATGATTAAGGTTTACGAAGGTGAAAGAGCCATGTCCAAGGACAATAACTTACTAGGTAAGTTTGAATTGACCGGTATTCCACCTGCCCCAAGAGGTATTCCACAAATTGAAGTTACTTTCGCTCTAGATGCTAATGGTATACTAAAGGTTTCCGCCACTGATAAGGGTACTGGTAAGTCTGAATCTATCACTATTACTAATGACAAGGGTAGATTATCACAAGAGGAAATTGAAAGAATGGTCGAAGAAGCCGAACATTACGCTTCTGAGGATGCTGCTGTCAAGGCTAAGATCGAATCCAGAAACAAGCTTGAAAACTACGCACATTCTTTGAAGAACCAGGTGAATGGTGAACTAGGTGTTAAACTAGAAGAAGAAGACAAGGAAACTTTACTAGATGCTGCCAACGATACCCTAGAATGGTTAGATGATAACTTTGACAATGCCATTGCTGAGGACTTTGACGAAAAGTTCGACGCTTTGTCCAAGGTTGCTTACCCAATTACTTCTAAGCTATATGGTGCTGGTGCCGAAGGTGCTGATGGTCCCTTTGCAGAAGATTATGAAGATGATGAAGATGATGATGGTGATTTCTTTGAGCACGATGAATTGTAAGCACGTTTAAATGTACTTTACTGATTGTCCAACATATAAAGACATAAAACCTCTCATCATTTTATAAATTTTCTTAAATATATGTAATAAAAAAAATAAAAATATTAATATTGATGGTTATGAATATAGAAAATTTAATTAAACTATAAACAAACTTGTCCAGTTTGAAGATGGTGGTTTTTACACAACTTCTCTCCATCTGTTGTTGTTATATGGATATATATTTGTTTAGTTTTATATGTTTTCCCTAAATTCAAAGTTCGTGGTAATTCGTTATGGAATGCAAGTATATGAATTACTTAACAAACATAAATAATAATTCATATTCAGAGTCGATGTCAAATTCGGAAAATAAAATTAGATCCTCATTCCTCAGCTCAATATATCTTGCTCTCGGTATAAGGATGCCATTTAGGGTAGTTCCATTCGAAGAGTTTAAATCCATTATGTAAGGTAATAGCTTTTTGTTTTTCTCCCTGAATTGAATGACGGAATGTTCCTTAGAACAACCAGGGTCAGGTATGCCAATGTCTGACAAAATTACCTCTGTGGTATCAGAGTCGGAATCATTTTCATTATTTTCATTAGATATATTTCTTTTCTCTTTGGGAAGTTGTCTCCCTATAATGTAATAACTCTTTAAATCAAGATTAAATTCTCGTAAGGGTTCTTTAATACCTTTTTTATATAATATTGCCTTAATAATTGGTCTCTCAGATATCGTGAGTTTTATTTTATCCCAAAATTCATCTGGTGATACAGAATCCGGTGGCGCTACATACTTCAATGGCTCACCATTACTATTGTTTGATTCAGCTTCTAATATACCTGATGGCTCGAAGGATGGATGTATCTTGCATTCAGCCTTAGATCTCTTTATTTGATCATAACGACTATTTTGGGATCTTGAGTACCTTTTCATTCTACTTGGCAAAAATCTCTTCTTATCTTGCAAAAAGTGTTAAGTATAGGTAAGTATATTATAATAATATTGGGAATACTAGTGTATAAAATTGACTAAACTCTAGTCCAGTGAATAGAAAACTGTTTTATGCTTACTTCTTTACCTTATAGTAAGATAGTATTAAAAGCTCTTCAAATAGTGACTGAAATTTTCGGATCAACTTTAATAAAGGTATACAAATGCGCCCTACTTTAGGGTTTGCACACAGGGTATTCAAAGTTAATTATATAACTAATTAAATTGTCTTATGACAAAGATGACCGGTAATAATGATTTGTACCAATTTTTCGTGGCAGAGTATATTCTAAAACAGTTTTATTAATGAATTTAATTGGTGTTGAAATTTTTAAATTATATATTTCGTTGGAATACCAAAATTTCAACAGATTTTAGTTACCCAAAAACAATAATAAATTGTGAAGAAAAATAGTCTTATTAGAAAGGGAGTAAAACATAATCATTTAAGCCCATCTACAAATTTATATATCACAACAAATAACAATTACACTGTATTGTAACTCAATTAATTAGTACAACTAATCCCTTCAAAGAAAATCACTTTTCACGAGTATTATTTCATCTCATCATATAAAATTAAATAAATTGGAAGTCTTTCGGTATAAAGCTTCTTTGATTCAGAAGTATATTTAAATAAATAAAATAACATCCAAACAATCGAGGTCGAGTAATTCGGAAATTTAATATTGATAAAAAGTATTGGAAGTGAAAAGCTGGAGAGTTACTTAATAATATTGACTAATTTTTGCATTTTTCATAATTATTCAATAACGTACAAACAAAGATGTCATCAGCATTTGAAGCAGAGCTAATATTATCAAGGCCTTACCTAACTCGTAAACAGATATCCAGAGCCCAGAAGAATACCATTTCGGATCTACGATCATATTCACAGAAAAAGTTAGTAATTATCAAATATTTGAGCGATATGTGTGTACAACTGAAACTTCCAAGAAAGACGCTTGAAACCGCCATTTATTATTATGAAAGATATCATTTATTTAATGCATTCGAAACTGAACTGATATACCTCTTAGCAACAAGTTGTCTTGTACTAAGTTGTAAACAAACAGAGACATTGAAAAAAGTTAATGAAATATGTCAAGTGTCATATAAAGTGAGGAAAATATTAAAAGCTAATCAAGATATGATGGAAACATTTAAAAAAAGAATATGGCAAACAGAATTACGAATATTAGAATCCTGTTCCTTCGATTATAGGGTTAATAATTTCTTACATATAGACGAATATATCATTAAAATTGGGAAAAGTTTACAACTAGAACCTAATGTATGTTATTTAGCTTGGTTGATTGCATATGACGTCCTCAAATCAGATATTTTATTAATTGTTCCACAGCATTGTATTGCTATTGCAATACTTAAAATCTCAGTTGAACTATTCAATTTACAAAATGATAATAGTGCCAATGAAAACAACAACACAAAATGGTCTAAAGTAGATTATTCATTCTTTGAAACTAACGAAAGTTCAGTTAATGAAGCTTACTTTGAAATTTCAAATTTTTATATCAATACGTTTGACATATGTGACTTACAAGCAAATATTCCACCGAACTATCCTCATATTGGAATTGAATCATTTATAGAATTGAAACAGAATACTGGCCGTCAAAGAGGGTTAGGTGAACTCGAAAATGAGGATATCAATAGAGACCCATTTTTAAACAATATTAGAAGTACGGCTGTTAGGGAAAGAAGACATGTATTATCCTCCAAGTTGGTCATTGATGAATATAACGCTATCAATGACACGCAGCATAAATAGCATATATATATATATATATATATAGACATTATTATCTTCCTTCACTAAAAGGATAATATAAAATGCAAGTCATTAAATAGCTTATATTCACTTTTTATATGCTTCCAAATAGTAATTAGCACATTTTAGAGAGAGTATGGTTGAAGTCATATTATTTTGACAATAAATACAAATATCTATTTTTCCTTTGTGGATCTAAATCGATTAATTTATTGAGGTATTCTTTTGTGTGATCTGTTTCTACAGCATGGCCAGTAGATTTCAATGCACCTTCGATTACAATCAACATCTTCAGACACCAATTGTTTTCTTTACCAGAAAATTCCAAATCATCGTTATTAATTAAGATAATATTTTCTTTCATCTCTCCTAACATCTTCATGTACTCTTCATTAGTCAAAACCAAACGAACAATGTCGTTTTCAATAAACCAGTTTGTATAAAACCAAACAGATTGATCATCGGCATCTGTGTATATGGCATTTGTTATGTAAGATATTTCATCCAATACCATTTTTTTCATTTCTTTTTTGTTTAGTTCGTGCTCTTTAAACAAGTTGGTTATTAGTTGAACCCTTTGATGCCATGCTGAATAATTTGAGATATTTTTATTGATAACCGTTGTAACATATCCCAATTCTTCTTTATCCATCAATTGGTTTTTTAAGGTCTCTAAGTTTTTAACTATCAACCTTCTATAATGCCAACCATGGTAGTTCCTGGCATCCATCGATAACAGTTTATCGACTATGGATAATTCACGGATCCATATTTTAGTAGATGCCTGAGAATAATTGTTTAATACCCATATTCTATGATTCCAAATCCAGTAAACTTTTGGAAATCTCTTTAATTTCTCCATTGTGAATTGTAATTCATTCTCCCAAAACTCAGGAGGAGCAGTATCCTGTAGTTGTAATATAATATCACGTCTATAATTCCAAACGGTATTGAACTCGGGGTTTAGTTCTAGGACTTTGCTGGTTAATTGTAACGATTCTGAGGTAAATATCTTGTTATCACGAATAGTTAACGTTTCATCTACGAGTTTATTGTATGTTTTTATCTTCAATTGATCTTGCAAACGCTTTTGTTTTAGAATTTCTCTCGAGTATTGTTTCCTTTTTATCCCATGCTATTCAAATTAAAAGTGTTAGTAAAGATAATATAGGTTGGAAATAATAGATTCAAATCATAACAGATTTATTAGTCATACCATTTTTATTGTAAATTATTTATCCAGAGCAGTCGACTTTATTCTAATTAAGCAATAGTTTAAGCTCAATTATTTCTTATTCTTCAAATAAAACGGTTGTTAGGTTGTTTTGATTTCTTCCATGAAACATTTTTGGTATCAAAGTATTCCATTGTTTATCGCAATTACGTATTAGACAAAAAAACATAAAACAAAATAAAATAAACTAATTCATTATTTAAAAAATTAAAAAGGTCGAATCGTTGAGATCTAATCAACAATAAAAGATAAATTAACTATTAACATACTGATTGATATCAAATTCCTTCCTTCTTTTTATTTTCATACAGCATGTCGTCAGGTAAAAGTATATCATTAAAAGGATCAACTCGAACAATTACAGAGTTTTTCGAATATAGTATCAATTCGATTCTTTATCAAAGAGGAATATATGCTGCTGATGATTTTACTACAGTAAAGAAGTATGATTTGACATTATTGAAGACCCATGATGAAGAACTGAAGGCATATATTCGGAAAATATTAATACAAGTCCACAAATGGATCCTTGGTGGTAAATGTACCAAGCTCGTACTATGTGTAATAGATAAAGATACTGGTGATGTTGTTGAACGTTGGGCATTCGATATTCTTCGACTAGATAGTGGGAATACTGTTGAAAATGATAACAATGAACAAATGATAGAGATAGATCCCGAAACAACCCAGAAGCAGATAAGATCATTAATAAGGCAAATTACTGCAAGTGTAACATTTTTACCTGAATTAGTAAATGAAGGAAAATATACATTCAATGTACTTGCTTATACTGATGCATATGCAAAAGTTCCATTAGATTGGGGAGATTCTGGTAGTAAAGAGATTGAAGATGGAGAACAAGTGCAATTCAAATCATTTGAAACCAACGATTATAAAGTAGGCGCACAAGTCAGTTATAGACAGGACCAATAACGAAATTATCTAATATGTTTTACTTAACAGAAGATTGAGACGATCATAATCATGAAAAATGCTGTTTTATTACATTTGATTTATATATGATATATTAATGGTATATATTTGAACGTAACAAAAAAAAGGGTATAATTTATGAATCATTGATTGTATGCAGATGTGGATAATACCGTTCAAGGCATTATTTCGAGGTAAAATTATGATAAATTATCTATTCCTTATTATTTAAAATTTCATCCCATTCCATTAATTGAAATATTAATCCCATGTTGGGGCTAATGTCTTTTGCTATTAATTTTAATTTATTGTAGGCTTCATTCAAATGAAGTTTATCGTAACGCATAATATAAGCAACAATAAGAGATGCTGATCTTGAAACCCCACATTGACAATGTACAAGAACCCTCATGCCACTGTTGCTAGCCTCGTGAATAACATTAGTTATGTGATTAAGCTCTCTAGCTATTTTTGAGTCATGAGACCATTTTATATGACGGTATTCTATTGATTGTTTAATATCATTTGGAATCCTAGTCTCCAAACTTTCAACTTCTTCAGCGACATTTATAACTACGTCAAATTTAAGTATATCATTTAATGTAGGTTCCGAATAGAGAAATATATTGGGTGAAATAACTTGTATTGGCCCATTTTGATATACACTATGATGGTATATCGGTAATTCTTCTTGTAAAGGACTAGGTATATCAATACCATTATTGCAATTGTTATCATCCTCACTAGATATATCATTGAAAGGCATGCCTGGTAGAAACCAAGCTGTTTTATTATCGTCACTGTTCGTAATATTCGTTGAATAGAGGTTATTATTACTTGTGATAGAAACAGGTGTTTTAATAGTAGTAGCTGTAAGTGTCTTTGATCTGGATCTAGTATTAGTCGAAAGATTATGTGTCTTTATGGATAAAGATAATGAATGGTTTCTGACCAAAGGTGGTCTCTTTGCTAATTTTGGAATGGCTGAGTGGGAGACTAAATGATCTTTGAATGTATAAGGAGATATATCATTATTATTAGTATTAATTGTGGATATTGTGGCCATATATCTATTCAAGGATAATTTTGAATTGGAGGTATTATATATAGGGAGTGAATATATCGAAGATATATCAGTTTTTCTTGAAACGATGGATGATGAAGATGACGAAGATGATTTTGTTTTAGGGCCAATATTATATATTGTTCTATTATCCAGTTGAGGTTTATAAATATTTTTTAAATCTAATTTCATAGAATTCATTTCATTATCATTATATGTAAAATCCTCGTTATTGTTCGTTAGTGATACGGACCCACCGGAAAGGGGATTTAATTGTAAGTTGTTATTGTTGTCTTCAGTTGTGTAATAATTTGATTTATCCTGTGGGTTATATATTGGATTACACGACATTTTAATATCGTGAGTGGTAGGAAACATTATACGAAATATACCAGAAAACCTCAGTTGATATTTATGTAGCTGTTTTCAAAAACAAAAATATAGTAATAATGATGGTATGAGTCAAAATTTAATAAATCTAATTCTGTGAGTTTTGGGTTTTATGTAATTAAACGGACGTCAATGTGTTGATATATATATTTGTGGATGTGTGTGTGTGTGTGTGAATATCGAACCAAATGGACGGAAACGTATACTTCTCCTTTACCTTGTTAGTACCTTCCACAACTCTCCTTAAGTATATATATATCTATATATATATATTTCTATAACTGAATTGAGTTGTGTTATTCTAAAATAAAGAAAATGATTTACTATTATCTTTTGCTTGGCTTTATTAATCTGTCACCAATTTCAAATCCCAAATACGGTGTTTAACTTTACTCTTACCAAATTGAGAAAAAATCATTTAAAGAGAAAGGAAGAGAGAAACCACCGAATTTGATTTTCTCTCAAATTTTTTCATTCAATTTCTTTACCTCTTTTGGACAATGGGGTTTCAGAGAGTATAATCCCGCAGAGACCGCCATGGGAGGGAGAGGCTCGATGGGGAGAGAAGAAAGAAAAAGCTAAATATAGCCCAGAAGGGGAGACCATACCACTCGCAGACAAAGAGAAAGAAACTGCCGTACAATAATTGCTGGATTTAGTTGTCTTTTCTTATTTGGTTTACATAATCAAAATAGTAGTAATACGCCAACTGGGAGGAAGAGGTACCAATAGCTAAAGATATAGACGTGATGTGATGTGGATAGATTCGACTGGGCAAGGTAAGGAGGTTGATGCGAAGCATTTGTTAATTTATTATGTACGATTTAATAAAGTGTTTGGCCTTGATTGATTATCTTTGTAATCTTATATAGGAATATAGAATGTGGTTTAGAGAAAGAGAGAGAATATTAGATAAACATAAAAACATTAAAATGTTAACATTTTTTTGTCTTTGTCTCCCTTTGGAACGTTAGCTGTCCTTTGAACTGCAATCGATCTATCATTATTGAAAAATGGAATTTTATAACGCAAATTCCCACGTATGATAAGATCATAATTATATTTTATAATCTCTTCCCATTTTTCGGACCCATCTGGATCCTCTTGTTGGTTGGAACTTCTAGTGTTATCCCTACCCGATTTATCCTCGTTTTTGGCGGGATTCTTTATCTTTAAACTCGTCATTGATACATCATATTTCCTATTGAAAAATCCACCACTGAATTTTAATTCAGGATCTAATTTACTAACAGTACCAAGGAAAATAGTCTCCGTAGAGTCCTCATTACGATCTTTAAATGGGTCAGATTCATTACCATCTCCTCCGTTGTCATCATCATCATTAGGAATATGGTCACTCTTCGCAAAAATATCAAGATCTGAATCAAATATTGAAATTGAAAAAAAACCAGGGTTAAATGCAGATGCGGTAATATCAAATAATAATTCATCAGTAGTAGAAATAACATTATCTACAAGAACGACATTAAAATCTTGTAATTCTTTATTTGTAGCAATAATGAAACCAAATATAAATCCAATAGTCACTAAAACAGTCATTACAAAGGAGAAATAAAATGCAGATTTCAGTTTGGACCATGTAGATTTCTTTCCGTAGAAATCGTGTGGAGAATAGCCATTATTACTTCTAGAGTATTTTCTTCTTGTCGTCATAGCGGGTGCAAGTTGATCTGGTCCGCCACGCAATGCAGTATATTCATTAGTATGTCCCATTTGTTGTTGAGTTGGCGACATTGTATAATCATAAAACGTTCCTTGCACTGGGGGTTGTTTGCTAAACGAATAAGATGGGTGTCGATTCCCAGTAAAATGCATTTGTGAGGGTAAGAAATTATGTCTTGCGAAAAAGCTTCTGTTGCCTCCTTCGTCCTCACCAACATCATCATCTTCGTCGTCCTCATAATCAGAGATTTCAGGACGAGCTTCAAGGTTGGCACGATGATTATAATAAAACATGGATTGTAGATCATCATTTTCAGTTGTATTACGGATATGATTACTGTTGTCGTTATTACTTCGGGTGGAGTAATCCTTTGAATAATTTCCTAGCTCATTGGGGATGCCTCCATTACTATTGTTAGCATGGGAGTTCCTGTAACTACTGTACTCGGCTTCATCTTCTTCTCTGATTGGTAGTGCTTCCTTATATATATAGTCGCCCTTGTTATTGTTTATGCTACCATAATTTTGATATCCATTATGATTCTCGTTATCACCATGGCGTTCATTATAATATGGACCATTGTTACTATTATTTCCGTTATTATTTTTGTTGTTGTTGTTGTTGTTGTTGTCGCACTGTTGATATCCATTTATACTATTTCTCATTACTCTCTTTCCATCATTAGAATTCATATAGTTGTTTATCTTTACACTATTTTGATTATTCAGACCATTTAATGAATGATTATGCATACTTCCGGAGATGCTATTGTGATTATTCACCATTGGAATATTTGTATTGTTATTATTACTAATATTATTGCCGTTTCCGTTTCCAATACTTCCCATATTATCAGATTGATCAATAAAATCCTCAAGATTCACATTATCAGGAACACCAGAATAAATTCTTAAAGGAGTTTCGTTTGTATCAAATATCTTTGATACAGTTGTCCTTAATCCTTTCTTATTTTCAGAATTCATTCCTGAGCTACTGTTGATGCTATTGTTATGTTGTAATGAACTTGGTGCCATTTGTCTCAAAGATGTAGTGATACTATTTGGGATTGCTCGTTGCCCTATTCCATTAGAAGTGGTATTTTGTGGTGGTAACTGTTGCGGTGGAAAATACGAAGCACTTTGTTGACTTATACTAGATTTAGTTAACGAAGCAATACTTGATCTCTTGTTTGGTGATTTCGGATGATCTAGAATATATGGTCTCATAGGACGCATATCCTGTGGATGGCTTCTGTTTGTTTTATTAAATGATCGTACTATTGATAATTCTTCTCCTGGTGTATGTGTACTATTGGATTGATTATTGACATTGGGACTACCGTTCATTTTAGTAGGTGTGGTTCCTGAATAATTCGGATTTAGATTTGTTACAGGAGAACCTATGATCTTATCGGAATTGTTTATGGTGTTTGGGTTAGAACCTACTGTAGTGGATATTGGAGGAAGATGTGATACAGATGGATGTGAATAGCCATTCAAATGTGAATGTGGATTTTGGTGATAATTAGTTGGAATGTGACTGCCAGTAGCACTAATATTATTTGGTCCGGCAGTTGATAAAGGAATTCCACTTGTACTGATATGCCTTGGGTTCTTCAGCCTTGCCATTAATTTTTTATTACTATTCAGGAGTGGAGCACTCATCTTTGGAATAACACCATGTTGTGGTTCTGAAACATCTCCAGTCATAGAATGTATATCGGCACTTCCATTAACAGAAGGATGTTGCGTATTGTTAGCTGTTGTACTTGCCTGTGGAACGTGATTACTTGAACTAGGATATATTCTATTCTTTGTAGAATTTGCAGCAGATTCATATACGAATGTTTCTTCTGAATCACTAACTTCATTTTCACCAACTGCAGACGCTAACCTTGCAGCGAAAAAATCTGTCTTTGTTGGTTTCTGACTAGAATCATCGAGTTGAGAATGTAGATCATCAGTAGAGAGTGCATTATGATGAGTCAGATTGTCTGTACTTTTGTTTATCATAGGATGAACACCACGATTTAATTTGTTTTCATTAATTTTATGTATATCACTAGGAGTAGGTTTTTTGGTAAATATATTATCTGTGTCAGTATTGGTTGTTAATGGGCCATTGATAACATTAGAATTGATGTTATTGTTATTATTGTCCCTCGATGTTTCAGATGTAAGTTTATTACCCTTCGTTATCTTAATATCGTTAGCTATGCTTATATCATCACTATTATTATGGGTAGCAGTTGTCATAACATTGTTAATGTTGTTGTTGTTGTTGTTATTATTATTATTCGTGCTGTTATTATTTGACATTACTAAAGGATTGGTTTTCTTTTCTGTCATTAATACATCTCTTGAATTCATTGAATGCATTGGTGGTCTCTCAAAGTTTTTTGTAGTTCTCTTACTATCCAAAGGTAATTCTTTAATCATATTATTACTAGCCACAGGTAAAGGTGCGTTTCCAATTGTGACGGTATTATTTGGAGTATTTGAATTTATTATTTTCTTGATTGAAGTTGCAGATTGTAATCTATTTGAACCATTTACTAAAGAAAGTGGTTGTGGAGAATTAGAGGTAGAAGTAGTGCTTGTTGTTGTTGTTGTTGTATTTGTAGTAATCTCGTTATCATTAGATAATGGTGAATTCCCTGTTTCGTTTATGATGGTGCCAATAAGATTATTATCTGTAGCAACATTAGTAATGGACGAATTGTTATTATCGGTGTTATTTATAATTAAATTTGAATCAATTAAAAGTGAACTTTTTTTATTTTTCAAAGGTAATGATGATTGATTTTGATTGTGTGATGATAAAGGATTATTGTCAATCAAATTCAAGCTTATATTTGAATTTGTATTTAAATCCTTCGGTATCATTTTACTATCCGGTAACATTGTAACGTGATTTAAAGGTGGTTCTTTAATAATACTGCCATCTACGGACAACCCATCGATATTATCAGTTGTTCGATCACCAATAGGTAACAGAGTATGTGTATACGGATGTAATATTTCATCCTTTTCTTCTGTCAATGGTTGTTGTTGATGATGAGGCATATTTTTATTATTATCCTTTTTCAATACATTTGATGATGATGATTCTATTGGAATGATCGAAACATTATTATTTAATAGCGTGCTCACTACTGGTGCTTCAACAGTTTCTGTCTCCACTATAAAATGCTGTTCGTCATCATTATTATTATTTTCAGTGTCATTATTACTATTATTATCTTCAATATTAGTATTGTTATCGTCAGTGTTATTCTTTGTAGATAACGATTGTGGAGGCATCAGTCAATGATAGATATATATTACCTCTTTTAGATATGTGACATATACTTCTAATGTATGTATGTATGTGTGTATATATACTATCATATATATAAAGATGTGACTTTAAGTAATTTTTATTTACAAATACAAGCAAGTGTCAAAAAAAAAGCTCACTCTTTGTTATTATTATTATTATTATTTTTCACTATTGATAGTATCCATTACTATTAAAATCATTATTACTACAGGTAAATATTTTCTACTACTGGTAATCACCGAAATCCCTTTCCACACACACTCCCTCCCAGTATGCACCACGTATGTAAAATAGTTTGCGGGTGAAGAAACGAACATTTTTTCAACAATTTTGGTTTGTATCATTTTATGGGTAGCCCTATTGTCCAACCCTGTGTCAATCATTCGGGACGACACAAAGCCCTAGCTTAGGGTACGGCATTAGCGGTACGGCAACTCAACGAACAAATCATTCCACACAATTTTCATTTTTGTTCCGTTGAAACTCGCTTTGCGTTGCGGGAGAGGAGCGAGCAGCGAGAGAGAAAAGGGTACCCCTAAGATGTTCGCGTGCGCAGGATACGCTCAACAAGGGGACGGGACGGGTGTCGGACACAAGAAAACGATGGGGGATGCTCGCTTTGGACCAATCATATCGCGAGTTGCAGAATCACTCAATAAGGGAAATTATTTGTACGTACGTTGTAATGATCGTGCGTGTATTAAATTCATTCATTCACTCTAATAAAGGATTATACTGCTTTCTGTCTATTGATTATATTACAATTGTATTCGTAAAGTTAAGTGAACTCCCACTTTGTTGAGTGGCATGGCATGGCATGGCATGAAGAACAACTCACACCCAATAATACACTATGCAGACTACGTTCGCTACTATAATAACAATACATACAGTAATAGAAAGAAACGTGCTCTAAGAAATATATGTTAGAGAAGCGTGTTTTTATTATAATTATTCACACAGTTAACTCTTTCACTATGTAAAGTCTTCTTAATGCTTATATATATGTATATCTATGTATATACATGTACATGGAGTTGGTGATGTTGATGATGATAGTAATAATAAAAGACAGTAGTACATCCTACAACAGGGAGGTGTTTTGTCTTTACAAGTAAACATCAAAATTGGGCAGTGTGTCTATAAAAAAATATTTATTTACTTAAAGTAGACGTGTAATATTACGTGCATCGAGAAAATTATATGGGTTGGTGGCGTGCATGTGCTAATATTTATTCTGATTATTATTACTATTATAACGGATATTAATTGATATCCATATTACATATATATATATATATATA